ATATTTCATAGTTCTCTATGAATGAGATTTTCATAATCCTATTGCATTATTAACTAATTATCTTCAACTCAAAAAAAAAAAAAAACTCAAAAAAAAAGAATCGTTTCAGTAGTAATTTCGTTGGTGATCTTGCTAAGTTATGTTTCAATCATATGGGAGTTCACTTTCCTCCCTGGATGGATGATGACGGTTGTTTTGAAGTTCGTGGTACGGGTGGAAAGGTGGGGAGAGCAGTACTCTGCAGGGGTGTCACAAGGAGGGAGGTGGCGCTCTGAAGAGGGTGTGTGCAGAAGTTGAGGGTTGCTCTATTCTGGGGCTGGGGTGGATAGCCTCAGCGGGGGCAGAATAGGGTAAGGGGTTTGCAGGGGCATTCTTCTGGTGGGAGCTGAATGTCTTTTGGATTATAGCGAGGAAGAGAGGGGCTGTTCCAAGTTGGGGTTGAAAAGGAGGTCCTACATTGGAGGACTGTTTTCGGCAGAGGCAACAAAGGGACAGATGGGTAATGAGTAGAGGAGGGAGGGGAGGAGACTTTCAAAGTTTAAGTTAGTCTTCATTGATGCTATATCAAGCTTTTTGGTGTTCGGTAATTCTTCCCGGCATCTGGCCTTCTTCCTCATTCGGGATATAGTATTTCAGAGACGGTCGAATCTGGACTGATTTCCGCAGAGTTGCTCTGTTCTATGCCTCTGGTTTGCCGATGTCAGAACGACGCTGGCCGGAGCTGGGGTGTTGCCCTGTAATCTGCAAATTGCAGGAGTGTGAGGCCTTGTAGAGAGATTTGGGTTTTGCTGAGGGAGGAAAGCAATTCAGTAGCGAACTGGGGGGGGCTGCCTTGACAACTTATGGGTCCAGGGATAGTCTAGGTGGCGAGAACAAGTCAGCTATGGTTGACATTGGTTAGGATGGCATTGTCTTTGAGATGTAATGTCCTGGTACAGGGAGGGTTAGGAGTTGTTATAGGATTAGGAGACTAGAATTGCTGATATAACATAGTCTTCTATAATTTTACATACTAATCATCATCATCAAATCATCATCATCATCATCATCATCGTCATCACATCACCAGTATCATCATCTGATTATTGTTATATTAAGGTTTTTGGTGTTCTGAAATTTTGGCAGCATCTAGCATTCTTCCACATCCGGGATATAGGACTTCAGAGATGGTTGAACCTGGACTGATATCTACTGAGTTGCTATGTTCTGTGCCCTTGGTTTACCGATGCCAGAACGACGCTGGCTGGAGCTGGGGCGTCGCCCTGTAACCTGTAAATGGCAGGAGTGTGAGGCCTTGTAGAGAGATCTGGGGCTTGCTGAGGGTGGAAGGCATTCCAGTGGTGAACCGGGGGGGGCTGCAAGGAGGCGAGAAGAGATCAGCTATGGTTGATGTTGGTTAGGTTGGTTTTGTCTCTGAGGCACAGTGTCCTGGTACAGGAAGGGCTAAGAGTTGTACTAGGATTAGGAGGCCAGAATAGCTGATATAGCATAATCTTCGATATTTTTTCATATATTTGAATCATCATTCTCATTAGCATCATTATCATCATGGTCATCATCATATCCATTTGAGGGATGCTGAGCCCGGTTCTCAGTAGTTTCGGTTCGATCACTCCGGGCAGACTGTGAGGACCCCGGCCTCAATCTTATTATTGGTAATATCAGCCTTGGGCACCGGACCCGGTTATTAAAAAAAAAAAAAAAAAAAACTTTCTATGGCAACAGGTTAACCGATGGGTGTGCACAGGGTAGCTGGGCGAGCCTGGTATTGTGGCTGTTACCCTGGCAGGCTCACCGGGGGCTAGGTCCCACTTACACGAATTAAGCGATATTGACCGTAGATGGCAGAGATCAACGGCTCGAATCTCTTATTCAGTGCGAGTGGGACCTTGCCCCGGAATGGGTGCGGCTCATCATGGGGGCTGTCGAGCCCCACGAATGGAAACCCTTGCAAATTTAAGCTGCTGTTTCGACAGCATCACACAGGGTTCGTGAGAGCCTGCCGGACGCCAATTGAACGATAACCCAGTGCTGAGGAGCTAGTGCAGTGCCATTAGATATGAAGATCCGTTGTGACGGCGGCATTTCCTCCTATAACTCGGTTCCCACAGAGGTCTGTATCCTTTTCTCTTTCACTTTGCTCTTGCTGCTGAGCTCCCAAAGATCTGACTCCCTTCTTGTTGCCCTTTTTCTTTCCTGGGAACATTTGTCTGATGCCCCTCAAAGACTGACCATTTGCTAGAATGCCCTTATAACCTTTGATCTTTGCGGCACCTGCCAGTGAGCTGCACAACTTCGCTCCATGAGCCTGGCCGTCTCAAAAAGGTTGAACAGGCACCCGGCAGGGGCACATACAAAAGATACTGGGTCCAATTTATTTGATGTGATAGATAACATGCAACTTTGACCACTGTCAGGGGGGCAGTCGGTGAATAGCCAATTTTTAAGGGGCATCTGACAGAATACCGTATATTTTAAGGGTCAACCACAAAATTTCCGTTTTTTTAGAGTTCCCCTCCCCCTCCCCCTGCTCCCTCCCCCCCCACCCTCTTCTCTTCCTCACCCACTTTTGCCAGCTCTTCACATTCGGAACCATAGCAGTGACAATCCCTACGGTTCCTGAATAAGGGGACCTGAGTTTGAATCCTGCGCATACAATTTAGCCATGTGGTCCAGTAGGCCAAAGCCGAGCCTTTCCGCGGCCAGCTGTCCTTTTTTTTGGGATAATTGTGGTAGAAATCGCCCATGCGAAAGCCTTTTTGGTTTTCCTCGCCCAAACTTTTCACGTTTGGCAAGAAAGACCTACCCCAGTTTTTTGCATCCGACTCGGATAGCCTGTATCGCCCGTGGGCCCTTCTTCCTGGCAGACGGGAAAAGTGAAGGTGTGGAAAACCAAAATGGTTTCACGTGTGCCTTCCTCTTTTTTTGGGGGGGAAATCGCTTTTTTTTTTTTTTTTTTTTTTTTTTTTTTGGGAAACAAGTGGTGGGCAACCGCGAGCACGTGGGGAGTGCACCGGCCGGTGGGTCCGGCGGTCTCACGACCCAAAGCCCTCGGAGTTTCCGAGGACTGACTGAGCATGTTGGTGACACCATAGCTTTCGCGACGACCGAGCAAGGTGGGGCGGGTGAGGAGGGCACAGACGCTGCCATAGCTCGTGCGCTGCAAGGGAGGAAGCGAAAACGGGGTGAACTAACCTCGGGACCAGCAGTGCGAGGGCGCTCTTGCGGTACTACGCCCCTTCTGAAGATATGAATATTTTCTATACCCAGTCCCAGTGCCCAACTTGCATCTATACGGGCGGAACGGCGTGTGCAAATCATTTGCTTACCTGGGACCAAGGTGGGACAATTCTGGTACCACCAAATTGCTGTTACGGCCCAACTACTACCTACCCTGGCAAATCATGTGCATATGCAATTTTGCCTGTATTGTTTCTGGGCATGTGCATATTTTTTAGGTTCCCTACCAGGGGCCTGTGAGACAGGATAAGCAGATCGTTTAGCCCAAGGGGGAAAGTACTAAAGTTGTGTAGTACCACCAGTACACCCGGGCCTGGTGGTACTGGTGGTGCCTTACTGCGCGCCAAGCTTTTCCGAACCGCCAGCGACACACTTTCTTTCTTTTTTGGCTGGCACCGCCAGCCATTGTGGTCCGGCGGTAGGCCAAGCCTCCAAATTTTTTTTTTTAATTATTTTTTTCAAAACTTTGGACCATTTCTCGATTTATATGTGTCATCCTTCCTTGCGCAGGGCCATGCTAATACCCTCGATGTGGTGGGCCGGTGCTGCTTTGGCCGGGCCCCACCTAATTTTGTGAAGGACGCCGGGCCTGGTTCCCGGAGGCTTTTAACGGATGTCCCGAAGGACAGCCTCCGAAAATTTCGTTGGTCACGAGTTGCGTGTTTTTTTTTTCTTTTTTCTTTTTAAAGGGCGATGGCCTTGAGACACTACTGTTACTCGATGGGGGTGGGGGAAGATGAATAGGGAGGCACAGTTACCGGCAAAATGCTCGGTCCTTGTGTTAGCCGGGCCCCCACCAGCGGCCCCAACCAGCGGCCCTAACCAGCGGCCCGAACCCTGCACCCTAAAACGCTAGGGCAAAGGGGCAAACATGCCCTTACCCCCCTCCAACGACAGAGAGAGGTAACCTCCCTTCACCTAAGAGAGGTAGAAGCTATGCTTGCAGGGGCGGGTCCCCTGTATAGGCTTAGGAGTAGTGGTAGGTAGGTTCTGAAAATTCCATGATGACATATGGCAGAACGCCAGTTAGAGAAAGATCTGTGAGGTGAGAGAAAAATATATGGATGTCCCCTGATGAGGAGAAGGCAGCTTTTGAAAAAAAAAAAGAAGAAAAAAAAAAAAAAGATATTATCATTGAGCTGACCGGCCCCAAGCAATTCATTAGTAGTTGGTTCTACCTGTCAAGTTCCATCATCTGGATTCGAACACAGCACCTGGTCTGTATTTCAACAGTTCATGGGTGTACCCACTGAGCTAGGCTCTTGGGTACGAGTTGGGTTTTCAGCAAGGGTGGGGCCGTGTACTGGAGGTATATAAACCACCAGAGTACCGTACTTGGGAGGCACTGCCACTTTTCTCTGGGGCTGGAAATGACATGACCTGCGATACGGAAACGAACGGGAGTGGGCCTCGCGCTGTATCTGCCCATTGTTCTAGCGAAAGATACATTCTCATTTTGCACAATTGGTGGGTACTGGAGCGAGGCCCAATGCCACGTCGGATTTTCCAACGGAATTAATTACATAATTACATACCTTTCACACAAACACACAATTTATGTTTATGTGTGGTACCCCGCGCGGCTGCGGAGGCGTCCCCATCGACCATCGCCGTCGCCCAATGCCCCATCGCCATCGCCATCGCCATCGCCAACGCTACCGTCTTCCTCCGAACACAACCACCCCTTATTTTGCCTGTACCGGACCGGAAATGTAGCTTTGATACATCCATTATCAGGGTGCGTTATGTTCGGGGGCAGGCGGTAGTGCAGAGGTCTGTCAGGGCTTCCCTGTGAGGAAGACGAAGGGAAGAGGAGGGGAGACAGGTGAGAGTGCAAAGGGAGGGGAGAAGTGAATCGAGAAGAGGGGAGAAGTGGGCGGGAGGAAGTAAGGGCGGCGTACTGACACTGGGATTTTTTCGACGGAATCGGGTCCGTTCTTAAGCTCAGATGCATCCACGAAAATCTTAGTGTTGGTGTGTCCAAACGCACGAAGCAGGCGAGAAAAAGGAGAAGGAGGAGGAGGAGGAGGAGGAGGAGGAGGAGGCGGAGGAGAAGAAAGAGAAACATAACTCCTAGGTGGGGAGAAGATAGGTAAACGGGATCAGCGGAAGTCGAGGAGGATGCGAGGCGGGAAGCAGGATTAGGCGGGAAACATAATCTGGCGGGAAGGAGAATTTGGCGGGAAACAGAATTTTGGCGGGAAACCGAATTTGGCGGGAAAGAGCATTAGGAGAGGGCGAGGAAGAAAGATAGGGGAGTACAACGACAGAACGAGGAGGAGGAGGAGAGTACCGAAAGCAGCAAAAGAACAGATCAGCAGCAAAAGCAGAGGAGGAAAAGAGAAGGAGAAAGGAGAAGGGGGAAAGCAGATAAGAGATACACATCTACAAGAATTGGGAGAGGTAGGGATGCTCTCGCTAAGAGTTCTTCGCAACACAGTTCGCGGCACCATACGGGCCCACCCCCCGTGTAATCTCCATGCCTGCGCACGTGCGCTAGCAGGATTTCAGTCCTCTGCGGTTTCAGCCGCCAAAGAAGGTACCCGCCTCCGCATCCTCACCCTTTGA